AATTCATTTTTTTTTTTCAACAAGTCGGCCGTCTCCCACCGAGGCAGGGTGACCCAAAAAAGAAAGAAAATCCCCAAAAAGAAAATACTTTCATCATCATTCAACACTTTCACCACACTCACACATTATCACTGTTTTTGCAGAGGTGCTCAGAATACAACAGTCTAGAAGCATACACATATAAAGATACACAACATATCCCTCCAAACTGCCAATATCCCAAACCCCTCCTTTAAAGTGCAGGCATTGTACTTCCCATTTCCAGGACTCAAGTCCGACTATATGAAAATAACCGGTTTCCCTGAATCCCTTCACTAAATATTACCCTGCTCACACTCCAACAGATCGTCAGGTCCCAAGTACCATTCGTCTCCATTCACTCCTATCTAACACGCTCACGCACGCTTGCTGGAAGTCCAAGCCCCTCGCCCACAAAACCTCCTTTACCCCCTCTCTCCAACCCTTTCGAGGACGACTCCTACCCCGCCTTCCTTCCCCTATAGATTTATATGCTTTCCATGTCATTCTACTTTGATCCATTCTCTCTAAATGACCAAATCACCTCAACAACCCCTCTTCTGCCCTCTGACTAATACTTTTATTAACTCCACACCTTCTCCTAATTTCCACACTCCGAATTTTCTGCATAATATTTACACCACACATTGCCCTTAAACAGGACATCTCCACTGCCTCCAACCGTCTCCTCGCTGCTGCATTTACCACCCAAGCTTCGCACCCATATAAAAGTGTTGGTACTACTATACTTTCATACATTCCCTTCTTTGCCTCCATAGATAACGTTTTTTGACTCCACATATACCTCAACGCACCACTCACCTTTTTTCCCTCATCAATTCTATGATTAACCTCATCCTTCATAAATCCATCCGCCGACACGTCAACTCCCAAGTATCTGAAAACATTCACTTTTTCCATACTCCCACCCATCTATTTGCAGGGTGAAATCATTAGCTACGTTAAAACTTACAGATATCTTGGTGTAGATGTACCCTTTAACAAATCCATTATACCACAACTAAACAAGAAATGCAAAGCTAGGCTAAATGCTCTCAAAGCTGTTGCTGGCTACAATCCCAACTATGGTGCTAATGTGAGAATCGTGAGAATGATGTACATAGCCTATGTTAGGTCCTTAATTGATTATGCTGCTCCCATGTTGATATTAGCTAGAGAAAGTTCCCTCCAACCCTTGGAGTTAATGCAAAATGAAGCTCTCAGGATTATTCTTGGCTGTCCCAGATCTACAAAAGTTCTTAACATGAGGAAGGAGCTTGGTATTTCTAGTATCAGTGATAGGATTGTTGAAATTAACACTGTACTCGGTATTAGAATGTTGAGAAACGAACCAGACACTGTCACAGTGAATCTTACCAATTGTCTAGAGGTAAATACACACAGATCTAAATGGATTGTGAAAACGTGCAATTGCATTAAGTTTTATAACCTGCATGAACTGTATCACTGTAGGCAACAAGAGCATTTCACCCCTCCATGGAAGATGTGTTCATTTAATATCACATACCTACAAGTCCCTCCCAAGAAGCTCATTGCTAGTAATCCCTTCCTTAAATCTCTTGTTAGAGCAACTGCTCAAGAAGAAATTTTTCGCCTAGCTGGTAGTAATAAGTTATCACAAGTTATATACACTGATGGATCTAAACAGGAGTCTTCTGGCAGGGCTGCATCTGCTCTTGTTGCCACCTCCCTAGTTAAGAACGATAATAAATTTGTTGAGTTAGGCATAAGAATTAACAACTGGGCGTCTACACTGCAAACTGAATTGTTTGCAATCCTAATGGCGCTAAAGCTAACCTATGACACTGAGCTTGACTCTATCATCATTACTGATTCTATGTCATCATTGAAGGCTCTTGGCTCATATAATGACTCCAACAACATGCTCATTGGGGAAGCCAGGTATAGATACTCAAAAATTAGGGACAAAGGAATTAATGTACAATTGCTATGGATCCCATCACACATTGGATTACTCCTTCATGATAAAGTTGATATGTTAGCCAAGAAGAGTATCCAGAAGGAGAACGTAGAATATAACTTTGGTATAACTGTGTCTAGCATTAGGAATAATATTAGGAGAGAAGTAAATAATGAAGATGATTGTTATAGGAATGCAGTTAGAAGCCTGAGTAGATCTATAACCCACTATGATAACATGAACGTAGATAAGTATGTTTATGGAGCAACTTGCAATGTGAACAGACTGACTGATGTTGTAGTGGCCAGGCTTAGGCTTGGTTACAAGTACTTCTGGCAGTTTGGGAGACACACAGATGATCAAACTAAATGTAAATTATGTGATCAGGCATATGGTCACTGTCTTGAACACTATGTGCTTAATTGTCCACTTATTGAGGAATACAGAGACAGACAGTATAATAACCTATGTGACATGTCAAGATATCTTATTAATGAAAATAAGATACCAGATATACTAAGCAAATTTCCTAAATTTGCTTGTAACAGATAAGTGAACTATAGATATGTAGATATAAATCCATATGTATTCCTGTTAACCCTTTGGGGCCTAGTTCCTGGGCCTTTTGTGTATCCACATGCTCTCGCGCTACCGTCCACAGGATGGATATGGGGTGCACAATAAACTAGCCACTTCGGTGGCAAAATCTAAAAATCTAATCCTCCTCCCCAATTTGATATCCAATTTTTCTTTATCTAAATCATTTGACACCCTCATCACCTTACTCTTTTCTATGTTCACTTTCAGCTTTCTACCTTTACACACATTCCCAAACTCATCCACTAACCTTTGCAATTTTTCTTTAGAATCTCCCATAAGCACAGTATCATCAGCAAAAAGTAACTGTGTCAATTCCCATTTTGAATTTGATTCCCCAAAATTTAATCCCACCCCTCTCCCGAACACCCTAGCATTTACTTCCTTTACAACCCCATCTATAAATATATTAAACAACCATGGTGACATTACACATACCTGTCTAAGACCTACTTTTACCGGGAAGTAGTCTCCCTCTCTTCTACACACCCTAACCTGAGCCTCACTATCCTCATAAAAACTCTTTACAGCATTTAATAACTTACCACCTATTCCATATACTTGCAACATCTGCCACATTGCTCCTCTATCCACTCTATCATATGCCTTTTCTAAATCCATAAATGCAATAAAAACTTCCCTACCTTTATCTAAATACTGTTCACATATATGCTTCAATGTAAACACTTGATCTACACATCCCCTACCCACTCTGAAACCTCCTTGCTCATCCGCAATTCTACATTCTGTCTTACCTCTAATTCTTTCAATTATAACTCTACCGTACACTTTTCCTGGTATACTCAGTAAGCTTATTCCTCTATAATTTTTACAGTCTCTTTTGTCCCCTTTCCCTTTATATAAAGGGACTATACATACTCTCTGCCAATCCCTAGGTACCTTCCCCTCTTTCATACATTTATTAAACAAAAGTACCAACCACTCCAACACTATATTCCCCCCTGCTTTTAACATTTCTGTCATGATCCCATCAGTTCCAGCTGCTTTACCCCCTTTCATTTTACGTAATGCCTCACGTACCTCCCCCACACTTACATTCTGCTCTTCTTCACTCCTAAAAGATGGTATACCTCCCTGACCAGTGCATGAAATTACTGCCTCTGTTTCTTCCTTAACATTTAAAAGTTCCTCAAAATATTCTCGCCATCTACCTAATACCTCCATCTCCCCATCTACTAACTCCCCTACTCTGTTTTTAACTGACAAATCCATATTTTCCCTTGGCTTTCTTAACTTGTTTAACTCACTCCAAATTTTTTTCTTATTTTCATTAAAATTTCTTGACAGTGCCTCTCCCACTCTATCATCTGCTCTCCTTTTGCACTCTCTCACCACTCTCTTTACCTTTCTTTTACTCTTCTTTTACTCTCCTAATTCATGTCTGCATAAATAACTCAGCGTGACTGTAACCAGATATAAACATGTAAATAGTTCATTACCACTGTAATTTGTTCAGTTATCAAAACTTTACGACTCAGTTTCTAGACGCATTATGTGCCTCTAATATTTTGACTACCACATTAAGGGTATGTGGTGCATAATACATATATTAAACTAATCTATAAATGCGACATAATCAAACTTACATACGAAGGACTATGGCAGGTACATGATTTATGTCAAGTAAGGCAACACTGACACTTCCCACACACCAAATGAAATTATCCCATTCTAAACCACTATCCTTTTCTCCCCCTCCTCAATAACAAATTCCAGGCTGAGGGACTGATCACCTCAAAACTACGTATTCAAGAGTGATGAACTGATTACGTCGTCTTCACATGAATAAATATACCTAACTGTTGCATATGCCTTACCTAACAGCCTGTCGGTTTTTATACTGTTTTAATATTCGGTATGTGAAAAGTAGTTACAATAAAAGGAGGGGTAATAGGGATAAGGTAAATTCAGTTATGTACAATAATATTAAAGATAGGATCAGATTACAGATCATACCCCCGGCCGGGATTGAACCCGCGGTCATAGAGTCTCAAAACTCCATTACGATTTCTTGAGTCAGATTACAGTATATGCATGTTAGATATACAAGAAATCACTCTCTTCCCTTTCTGTAGATACATTCATTAAGTACCTCTTGGCTCTCTTCTTGAACTTGCGCATGCTATGGCAGGCTTTGTCATGTGAAGGTAGTCTGGTCCATTTCTTTATTGTTGTACAATAAAATGTGTTTAAAGCCTGGCCACTGACTGTGGGTACTACAAAGTTGTTCTCCCTTCCCCTGGTACTATAATTGCTTTAATTCCCAGCCTGGACAAATTTGGCAGAAAGATACTCTAGACACTGCTAAAACTACGTGGACTAGTTAATAGTCCAAGTCGGACCAAAACGTTGTCACAAGTCTTGGTTATTTGTGTATCATTCAAGTCGCGGAATTGTGACGTTATTGTTGACGGGTAACCGGGTTCATTACGGTGTGAGCAGCGGTGGCCCTAGAACCAACAACAACAACATGGCTCTTTAACTTACCCGCCATTTACCTGCCTCTAAGAAGAAGAAAAAGACACTATCCTGCAATGTGCTGCAGCAAGATGCATCATAAATTGTAAGAAGAAAAAGACACAAGTGCTTGTTTGGCAGAGTTGAACAGCCACGTAAATTACACTCACCCTGAAGATAAAAACTAAATAGTACTTGCAGAACAGAAAACAATGGTAGGTGTACCATCGACGTGAAAAATATTAGATGGTTTAGTTAGTTTAATATCTTTATTATACACCTCATACCCATCCTGTGGGCTATAGTCAAAAGATTACAGAGGTACATAATGTATCCAGGGACTGTACCTCAACATTACAGAGGTACATAATTCAAATTCAAATTCAAAGTTTATTCTCTATAAGTATTACAATGCTGAGTTTACAGAATTTGGTTATTGTGTGGTTTACATGTAGTAAAATAATAATTACAGAGTGTACCACTAGAACACCTAGCATGGCTAGGCATTACAGAGTGTACCACTAGAACACCTAGCATGGCTAGGCATTTTGGGCAGACTTATATTAAATCTTAGGTTTAAAATGTTACAGAATTATGATGTAAGTTGGTATTATGGCTAAGTGACTAAGTACTAGTTGTGTGTTTAACAATGTGAATGCTTTTGTTTTGGCACAATACATAGTTTCAGTATTGGAGTATCACAGGCCAACTTTTGACTAGTTAAGATTCATTATTTTGAGATTGAGATTGATATTTCTGTTTATGGTCAAATGGGTGAGTGAGTGTAAGTGTGAACCACCAGGTGGTATTCGTGTAGTTAGTTGACGGTGTGTATCAGGGAGATAAGATGTTTTCTAATGGTAGTTTTGAAGGTGATGAATGTGTCTGCAGGGTCCAGGGACTGTACCTCAACATTACAGAGGTACATAATGGGTCCAGGGACTGTACCTCAACATTACAGAGGTACATAATGGGTCCAGGGACTGTACCTCAACATTACAGAGGTACATAATGGGTCCCAGGGACTGTACCTCAACATTACAGAGGTACATAATGGGTCCAGGGACTGTACCTCAACATTACAGAGGTACATAATGGGTCCAGGGACTGTACCTCAAACATTACAGAGGTACATAATGGGTCCAGGGACTGTACCTCAACACTACAGAGGTACATAATGGGTCCAGGGACTGTACCTCAACATTACAGAGGTACATAATGGGTCCAGGAACTGTACCTCAACATTACAGAGGTACATAATGGGTCCAGGAACTGTACCTCAACATTACAGAGGTACATAATGGGTCCAGGGACTGTACCTCAACATTACAGAGGTATATAATGGGTCCAGGAACTGTACCTCAACATTACAGAGGTACATAATGGGTCCAAGGACTGTACCTCAACATTAGAGGTATATAATGGGTCCAGGGACTGTACCTCAACATTACAGAGGTACATAATGGGTCCAGGGACTGTACCTCAACATTACAGAGGGTACATAATGGGTCCAGGGACTGTACCTCAACATTACAGAGGTACATAATGGGTCCAGGAACTGTACCTCAACATTACAGAGGTACATAATGGGTCCAGGAACTGTACCTCAACATTACAACATTACCTCAACATTACAGAGGGTACATAATGGGTCCAGGGACTGTACCTCAACATTACTGAGGTACATAATGGGTCCAGGAACTGTACCTCAACATTACAGAGGTACATAATGGGTCCAGGAACTGTACCTCAACATTACAACTTGTCGGTTTTTCAAACCATTCATCACAACCATTACAGAGGTACATAATGGGTCCAGGGACTGTACCTCAACATTACAGAGGGTACATAATGGGTCTAGGGACTGTACCTCAACATTACAGAGGTACATAATGGGTCCAGGGACTGTACCTCAACATTACAGAGGTACATAATGGGTCCAGGGACTGTACCTCAACATTACAGAGGTACATAATGGGTCCAGGGACTGTACCTCAACATTACAGAGGTACATAATGGGTCCAGGGACTGTACCTCAACATTACAGAGGTACATAATGGGTCCAGGGACTGTACCTCAACATTACAGAGGTACATAATGGGTCCAGGGACTGTACCTCAACATTACAGAGGTACATAATGGGTCCAGGGACTGTACCTCAACATTACAGAGGTACATAATGGGTCCAGGGACTGTACCTCAAAGTTCTGACAGCTGAACAAGTTACAAAGTTAATGAATCAGGTAAGTAAATTTACTTATGTTTATACTACATGGTTATAATCATGAGCAAATTGTAAAGTAATGAGTAAGTCACACGTCCACACCCGGTCACAACTGTGATGGGTTATCGGTGCAAATATTAATTGTTGGGTCACACACACACAAATAGGTGAGTACACACATACTCACGAGCAGTGGAGATTTTATATATTATTAACCAGTTTTGGGTTGTGTCGCCTGAAATGTCTTTTTGTGATTACTTATTTGTTACTATAGCATACATAAGGGGGATTGCCAATAGATCCCTGGCTGTCTTCAAGAAGGCATTGCATAGGCACCTAAAGTCAGTACCTGACCAGCCAGGCTGTGGTCTGTATGTCAGCTTGCATGCGGCCAGTAGTAACGGCCTGCTTGATCAGACCCTGATCCACCGTGAGGCCTGGTCTCAGACCGAGCTGTGGGGGCATTGACCCCCAAAACCCTCTCCAGGTAAACTCAAGGTGTAGGAGAAGAGTTATGCCCTTGGTGTACAGCTGTCAGTATATGCTTAAAAACATACTGAGAAGTATAATAGGGTTGATATTCAATATCAGGAATCTTTTTTACGAAGATAGACTGAAAGTACTGAATGTTCACTCTATCAAAAGCCTAGCTAACAAAATTCCAAGCACTAATACCTGAGAGAGTGATTATCTAAATGAAAACTTCCCATCATCCCTCTATCTTACTCCAACTGAGCCCACTGAGGTCACCCTGATTGTTAATTCACTGCAAAACAAGTCAGGAAATTTAGTTCAAGTTTCAGCAATATTGTTCAAAAGAGCAGCTCATGTTCTTTCACCCACCATTACATACTCTTTAACAAATCAGTAGAAACCAACACTTTCCTGACATTGCTGAAGATAGCGAGAGTTATCCTGCTACACAAAGAGACAACTTATGTAAATAATTTAGAGCAGTATCTAACTTAACATTGTTATCTCAAATTTTTGAAAAACTGATTCACAAGATATTATACTCCTTTACCATCACACAATATATTCAGTTACTGCCAGTTTTGTTTCAGACCAAATAAAATCACAAATGACACATTCATAAAAATACTAGATTTCCTTTACACTGCTCTTGAAAATAATGAATATCCGCTAGGCCTCTCTGTTGACCTGAGGAAGGTTTTCGATACAGTAGATCACAGTCTCCTACACCTCAAACTGGATCATTATGGTATCAGAGGTCATGCACTCATATATATAAAGTCTTAACCTTACCAACAGACTTGTACATCAATGTCTCTATCAAGGGCACAACCTCATCAGCAAGACCTATGGACATTGGCATCCCACAGGGAAGTGTCCTTGGCTCTATGCTTTTCCTCTTATACATCAATAATCTTCTAAATGTATCACAGCAACTTAGACCTGTTCTCTTTGCTGATGACACAACTTTTGTCATCTCCTACTGAAATCCAGCTTCCCTCAACAACATTGTTAACCAAGTACTCTTAAAAATATCAACCTGATGACTACCAATAAACTCATGCTTTACATTGATAAGGCCTTCTAAATGATGTTTGGGAACAGAGCAACAAATGTCCAACTAAACATTATGATTAGTGATTCTCCTATTGCTAAACAAAATGAAAGAAAATTTATGGGTCTTTTTTTGACAGCTACTTGAAATTCAACACCTACATCCAACACATTACAAAAAAGTGTCCGAAACAGTTGACATCCTCTCCAAGATACATTATTATACCTCAGACAGTATTACTTAATTATACTACACTCTAATCTATCCCTACCACACCTACAATATTTGTGCCTGGGGATCCACAATGACAAATTACTTTAAGCCAATAATAACTCGACAAAAGGCAGTAGTACGAATGATCAGTTAGTTTACTGCCAGACAGCACGCTCCCCCACTCTTGAAAGACATGAACCTTCTTATTATACATAACATTATCTCATACTACTGTACATATTACATATACAGTGGAACCTCAAAAATCGAACATATCACATATCGAACGTTTCGAAAATAGGACCATTTTTTCGGACAAACTGTGTCCCTATTATCGAACGCGCCCCTGTTTTCGGACCGCCGGGTACGGGACCTGTCTGCCGCCTGCTCTGTCCGCATCCCCGCGCAGGCGCCGTGAGCAGTCTAGCTTTGTTTATGCTTGAGTGAACACTAACCTGCGCTCTCATTCACGCATTTTACGATTATTTTGTTGTGTTTAGTGCTTGTGGGACTGTGAAATAAGCTACCATGGGCCCAAAGAAACTTGCTAGTGGTACCCCTGTGGTAAAGAAAGTGAGAAACACCATAGATGTGAAGAAGGAAATAATACAGAAGTATGAGAGTGGTGTGAGACTTGTTGAGCTTGCCAGGATGTATGGGAAAAACAAGTCGACCATTGGTTTTATCCTGTCAAAGAAAGAACAATCAAGGAAGCTGATGTTGCGAAAGATGTTAATATAGGGATTGGATGAGGTGCCTTCTTCAAAGATTAAGGAGATTTTTGCCAAGTGGAATGATGTCCAATGTTTGTGCAGAAGTACCACCCTGAGCAAGCTGAAACAAGCATCTTTACAAAAAGTTCAGTGACAGAACCATGTCCCATTTTAGGGAAATGTTAAAGAGGCGCCAGAAACAGAGGACTGTGGACAGTTATTTTGTGAGACGGGTCCAGTGACTCTCAAGCTGGTCCTAGTGGCATTAAAAGACAAAGAAGGGAAGTAACCCCAGAGAGGACTTCATGGAGGGGGATTCTCCTTCCAAACACTAACCCCTACTCCCTCTCTCCTCCTCCTTATCTTCCAGATGCCATCACCAATCTTCAATAAAGGTAAGTAAAAATGTTATTTTATATGTACATGTATTACTATACATAATTAAAACCTATAGTATTTGTTGTATGTAAAACTGTAATTAATCTCTATAAAATGTATTTTTTGTGTGAATATTTTTGTGTTTCTGGAACGGATTAA